GGCCGTCGGTGGTGTCCCCCACGTCCAGCCGCTATTGAGCGTTGGGCGATAATGTCGAGGATTCAGGTGATGATCTCTTCGCCGCCTCGTGCTAACAGCCACCGGCACAAGTTTGCACCGGGTGGGCACGCTGCGGGGCAGGGGTCTCCGTCGGTTGCGCTTGGCGGCGGCTGGACCACGGTGGGCTCGACACACTGCGGGCGTGCAGGTAAGTCCGCTTTCCGCACTTCTGCTGTTGGCATTCTTGGTGCGTTTGACCCAATCTCTGTCCCTGCCTCTCCTCCCTCTTCGTGCTTGCTCCTGCCGACGTGTGGTCGTCGGATTTAGTGGCGAATGTTGCCCCTTCGGTGGTGGTGGCGTCGACGTCGAGCGTGGCGTTGGGGCAAACCCTAGTGGGATGGATCTGGTTGGGAGATGGCTAGTGGGTCGTCTTCCGCGATTGTGCCTCCTGGGTCGCCTGTTGGGCATGCGGCTGGGCCGGTCCCTGTTGATACGTCCATTTCACATCATTATTTTCTACTGTAATTTATCTTATTTCAATGTTATATTTCACATTGTGGTTCAATTTTAATGTGTTTTCTCTCTTAAAATGCAAGTTATACCTAGAGAGAGGGATTGTTGGAAGCTAGAACTCTGGACCTGAAATAGCAAGCAAAGAGAAAGCAATTCTCGAGAGCTCAAAATGAAGCACGGATTTTTGGAGAATTAATTTGAAATATATATTGAATTATGGAGCAAAGATATGTCAAAGGGGGGCCACTAGCCAGCCACATGGACAGGTGGCACGACCACCCCTTAGCCGCGACACGTGCCCATGTGGGGCCATGCTGGCTCGCTTCCTGATGCCCTTTGTCCATAGAATCCCATTTGCTCTAAAAAAATCACAAAGAAGCTTTGGGAGTTTCCACCGCCATCTGCGAGGCGGAGCACTTTTGCTCTCGGGCGGAGTGATTCCACCGGGAAACTTCCCTCTTAGAGGGGGAAATCGAAGCCTTCATCAACACCAACACTCCGTTCATCATGGGTATCACCATCTTCATCAGCATCTTCATAAACAACATGTCATCTCCAAACCCTAGTTCATCGCTTGTATGCAATCTTTGTATCAAACCTCGGTTTGGTACCCAGGGGTGCTAGTAGTGTTTATTACATCTTGTAGCTCATGCTTGTTGGTTTAACTCATAGAAAATTATTATGTTCAGATTGTTAATCATATATTTATACCCACGGATCATGATCAATATGATGAGTTGTGAGTAGTTCTATTTGTTCTCGAGGACATGGGAGAAGTCTTGTTACTAGTAATCGTGTGAAGTTGATCACCGTTCAATGTTTTGATATTATGGTGTGTTGTTCTTCCTCTATTGGTGTTATGTGAACATCAACCAAAATAACACTTCACCATGCTTGGGCCAAGGGGAAAGCATTGTGGGATTAGTTTGTAGATTATGGGTTGCAAGAGTGATAGAAACCTAAACCCCGATTTACAAATTATTCCGTAAGGGGTTGTTTTGGATCTCATTGTTTAATGTTATTGTTAGATTTATCTTAATTACTTCTCTTGTACTTGTGGATGCTTGCATGGAGTATAATCATAAGTAGGTATTTGTTCAAGTAAGAATATTACATTACCTCCTTCCACCCACATAACACTTATCAACGCAATGAACGTAAGTCGATGAATCATGGTGAAAGTAACTTGGTGATATTCCCGTGTGTCTTCAAAAGCATTTTAATCACTATAAGAAGTACCACCGGCTTGTGTTTAGCACAATTAAGGATTGTACCACTTGCTATCTTGTTACTTGTTACCTTGCTACAAATTACTTTGCTATCAAAACTATCTTACAACACTTGCAGTGAAATCCTTGCTGAAAATTGCCTATCAACTCCTTATACTCCTCGTTGGGTTCGACATTCTTACTTATCGAAAGGACTATGATTGATCCCCTATAATTTTGGGTCATCAAGACTCTTTTCTGGCGTCGTTGTCGAGGGGTGTAGAACTCTTGATAAGTGGAATTTGGTAAGGAAACTTTTATCGTACATGCTGATTTTTATCTACACTTGCTATTATGCAAAAACGTCCTTTGGGAAACTTGTTTGGGGTGCCGATGCCACATGCACAATTGGTAAGAGATGAAACCCCACCTACTGAAAATATGTATTATGAAATTTCTCTTAGTATTCTTGAAATATTGCACGCTAACCATTATGCAGGAGACGAAACGGTACATCCTGATATAAACTTGCTTTTACTAGATGAACTTTATGGATTATTTAAGCTTGCTTGTTAATCGAGTGATGGATTTAAGATGAAGTTATTTGCTTTATATTTGGAGGGAAAATCATTGGCATGGTATAGGCTATTGGATGATTCTCACTCATGGGACTGGAACCGATTGAAGCTGGCGTTTGATGGAAAAAATATCCTATGCATTTGGTTCACCGTGACCGGAATTATATCTATAATTTTTTGGCCTCGTGAATGAGAAAGTATCGCTCAAGCTTGGGGAGGCTTAAGGACTTAATGCTCAAATGCCCCAATCATGAGCTCTAAAGAGTTTTTCGTATTTTTCATGCTAGGCTTTCTCTTCGCGATAAAGAAAAGCTTGATTCTTCTTCTACGGGTTCTTTATCAAGTAGACAAATTGAATTCAAATGGGATCTTATTGAAAGAATTAAAATAAAATCTGAAGATTGGGAGGTCGACAAAGGTAAAGAGTCAGGTATAAATCTTGAATATGATTGTGTTAAGTCTTTTGTTGAAACCGGTGTTTTTCATGAGCTTAGTGCAAAATATGGAATTGTGCTAAGATAGTTGTTAATTTATGTAAATATTTTGTTGCTCATGTTGATCTCCCTAAAAAGATATGGTTTAAATATAATGAACCCATTAAAGGTATTTTTGAGGAACCTACAATTCCTAATACTGAAGTGCAATCTTTTGTTGTTAATCATGTTGTAGCTACTGCTTTTATTGAAAAACCTTCTTTTCCTACTAAGATTAAGGAGCACTCTAAGCCTACAAGTGTGATCCAGGGAAGTTATAATAAAGCACCAAATCATTATGAACAAATTAAAGTAGAACCTTCAAATTGCCATGGTTAAAGATCTCTTGGTTAAAACTATTGATGGGCATGTTATTTATTTCTATGAGGATGCTACTAGAATTGCTAAACCTGCTAGAAATGAATAGGATAAGAAAGATAAAAATAAAAGAGTATTTGGCATGCCTATTGTTTTTGTTAAGATTGGAGATCATTGCTATCATGGTTTATGTGATATTGGTGCCAGTATAAGTGGAATTTTTTCTCTCTATCAAGAGGTTATGTCTGATATTTCACCTATTGAGACATAAGAGATCGATGTTACTATTAAGCTTGCAAATAGGGGTATCATTTCACCTCTTGGGATTGTATGAAATGTTGAAGTCTTGTGTGTCGGATCTGGGGTTCCGGCAGACCCTTAAGGTTCGAACACTGGGGTGCGCGCGAAGTTCTTTCCCTTCTACTGATCTACTCCCTAGCTCGCTAAGGTCTCGCTGACGAACTCGACGCACTCGCAACACAAAGACACAAGATTTATACTGGTTCGGGCCACCGTTGTGGTGTAATACCCTACTCTAGTGTGGTGGTGGTGGATTGCCTCTTGGGTTGATGATGACCAGTACAAGGGGAAGAACAACCTCTTGAGGTTGAGGTGTTCTTGTGTTCGGTGTGGCTAAGGGTTGGCTCTCCATCCCCCACTTCTCTTTGTGGTGGCTAGTTCTATTTATAGAGGCCCTGGTCCTCTTCCCAAATATTGAGTGGGAAGGGAGCCAACAATGGCGACCAATTTGAAAGGGGACAGCTAGTACGAGCTATCCTAACAAAAGGTGGTCTTCGCCTGCCAAAGGTTCTGGTGATGATGTCGTATTGGGCTCCACAGTGACCTCCATCCTACCGTCCTGCGGGTCTTGGTCTCATTGCACCAATATGGAAACCTTTGCTTGATGCCTCGGTACTTCGC